GGAAGAGGAGGGATGCAGCAAAAAGAGGAGTGGAACCCTGGTGATTTGAATGCAACTCTACCTGGACCATGAATAGTAGGGAGAAAGCAGAGGAACCCCAAACTCCAATATGCTCTAAGCGTGTCAGTTCATCATACTGTGGTGACTGATGTGATGCTGGAAGCTTTGTCACTGGTGTAGCTTGGTCAATTCCAGCGTGGTCACCCATGATGGATAAGTTTCAGTGGAGCTTCCAGAAAGACTAGAAAGATGATCTACTTTTAAAACTTAGTCAGTGACCTTATGTATCACAGCAGAATAGTGCCCTATTTTCTAGAAGTCCCCTAGGTTGGAAGACACATTGTCATGAAAAAGGCTCAGGACTGGGCAATATTTCATTCTGCTGTACATACACACGGTGACTCGATGGCAACCAATAATGATACCAGCAGCATTCATGATCAAAGTTTTCCATTTATAAGACTGCATTTCATAAATACCTTCTGTGGATGCACAACTGTCCGACTTTCACATGCATATCGGGTTATTAAAAATACCGTGGCTTGGGTCTGGAGCATCTTAGTCCTCAAACCTGGCATCTTTACTCTTGAATGCTTTAAAAAAGGTCTTGTTAAAAGAGATGGGGATAAGATTCTTATAATTCAATAATGAGTACTTGTTATCATGACTAATTGTGACTCTCACAATTGTAAAGGTAGAAATTTTGTAACAAAAACAGGGAAGTGGTTAATCTTACAGTCCAGAAACAAAGGACCCTAGGATCACTAAGGGAGAAGCACAAGAGGAATGAGAGACCTTATCCAGAGAAGCAGCGACACCGCAGATGGAGGCAAAGATGGGGACATGGAGAGAGGGAGCAGCTGAGGACTCTAGATTCATGGGAAGTGAGGGACTAAGAGATGGTGGCCAGGAGGCAGACTTGCAGAATGTGCCCTTTGGTGGTGTAAAATATTATATATGCCTGAGTGTTTAAGTAAATAAATAAAGCTAACGTGAATAGAAACACTGGTAATTGATGGTACATGCAGGGGATTATAATCATTGTAATGAAACAAGGTGTGTGATGTGTTGAATGTAAAACTGATGATCTGACCTGTAAACTTTTACTCAAACCACAATAAAAAAATAAAAAAACTTAAAACAACAACAAAAAAAGGAGAATACCATGGCTTGGATCAGGTGCACCTCAGTCTTCAAGCTGACATCTTTGCTCTTCAACACTTTAAAAGGTCTTGTGCAGCAGATTTGCCTAATGCAATACGTTGTTTGATTTCTTTACTGCTCCTCCCATGAGTGTTGATGGTTGTCATCTGAGCAAAATGAAGTCTTTGACAACTACAATCTTTTTTCCATTTATCTTGATGTTATTTATTGGTCCCATGGTGAGGATTTTTGCTTTCTTTACATTGATGTGCAAAAACCATAAAAGTTGGACAGTGAATAAGGAAGATTATAGAATTGATGCATTTGAGTTATGGTGTTGGAGGAGAATATTGAAAATATCATGGACTGCCAAAAGAATAAACAAATCGTGTTGAAAGAAGTGCAGCCAGAGTGCTCCTTGGAGTCCAGGATGGCCAGATTGCATCTCTTATACTTCGGACATATCATCAGGAGGAACCAGTCCCTGGAGAAGGATATCATGCTTGATAAACTGGAAGATCAGAGAAAAAGAGGAAGACCTCCAATGAAATGGACTGGCACAGTGGCAGCAGCAATGGGCTCAAGCACGACAACAATTATGAGATTGGCACAGGAACTGGCAGTGTTTTGGTCTGTTGTGCATAGGGTTGCTATGAGTTGGTACTGACTTGATGATACCTAACAACAACAGCATGGATGGAGAAAGAGTTGTTTCAACTTTGGGTGGGACAGTGGAGGCAAGGCTAATTCTGGAGTGGAATGCAGAATAGAATGTTAAAGAAAAAGAGGATAGCCATAGTCCTTACCACCAAAAACCAGTTGCTGTTTGGAAATAGATATGCCAGGTCTTCTTCTGAAACCCCTTTAGAGGGGATGGAATTGCCAACTTTTCAGTTTGCACTCTCTAAGGACCCCTCACACAAAGCTAATGCCTATAATGCATTTGGTACATGATATGGAGTTTGGTATGGATTACATCTCAATGTAAAGAAAACAAAAATCCTCACCACTGGACCAATAAACAACATTCTTATCAACGGAGAAAAGATTGAAGTTGTCCAGGACATCATCTTTCTTGGATCAACTATCAACATTCATGGAAGCAGCAATCAAGAAATCAAACGATGTATTACATTAGGCAAATCTGCACAAGACCTTTTTAAAGTGTTGAAGAGCAAACTAAGGTTTGTTGAGGACTAAGGTGCGCCTGACCCAAGCCACGGCATTTTCAATAACCTCATATGCATGTGAAACCTGATCATTAAATAAGGAAGACCGTAGAAGAATTGATGCTTTTGAGTTATGGTGTTGGAGGAGAATATTGAAAGTGCCATGGGCTGCCAAAAGATCCAATAGATCCCTTTTGGAAGAAGTGCAGCGAGAGTGCTCCTTGGAGGCCAAGATGGCCAAACTTTGTCTCTCATACTTCGGACATATTGTCAGGAGGGACCAGTTGCTGGAGGAGGATATCATGTTTGGTAGGGTGGAGGGTCAGAGAAAAAGAGGGAGACCACCAATGAGATGGATTGGCCATGTGGCAGCATCGATGGACTCAAGCATAGCAACACTAGTGAGGTTGGCCCAGGATAGGGCAGTGTTTCCTTCTGCTGTGCATAAGGTCGCTATGAGTCAGTACCCGACTCAATGACACCTAACAACAACAACAATGGAGTCCTGCTGTGTGGCACAGTGGGTTAATGCGCTGGACTACAAGGTTGATTTGAATCACAAGGTCGACAGTTCAAGCTCAACAGCCACTTCCTGAAAACCCTATACAGGGTTGATGTGAGTTGGAACTCCATGGGACAAACAACAATGTAACCAGTAACTACTCCCTGTTATCAGTGCTGCTCCTTCCTGTCCTCTTCATCCAAGCATCTGTGAGGCTTGTGGCTTTCAGTTTTGTCTGGCTGCCTCAGCCCCAGGACTTCCACCAAGACTTCACTAGAACATAAAGCACACCTAGAATCACATTAGGCCAGAAAAAGGTACTGGGATAATGTGATTGATAACTAATTCTTAGATGACAATAGCGTTTCAAGATGCTGCTGTAAACTCGTAAATTTCATTGCCCTCAGTGCTTCTGGAAGTGAAACTGACTGCATCTTGCCCTGGGCCGCACACTATGTGATCCCCCGCTACTAATGTTCGAAGTCTCAGAAATAGTTTCAAGTCTCGTGTCAGAACTTCACATTTGCCATAGCTCTGCCCGTAACACAGACTTGTTGTTGTTAAGTGCCTTCGAGTCGGTTCCGACCCATAGCGACCCTGTACAGGGTTTCCGAGGGTGTAAATCCTTACGGGAGTAGAAAGCCTCATCTTTCTCCCGCGGAGTGACTGGTAGTTTCGAACTGCTGACCTTAAGGTTTGCAGCCCGATTCATAACCACTACGCTACCAGAGCTCCTATCCTCATCCATAGGTGTGAGTAAAAACAGATCTGGGTGCTGCCCAGAGCCCTTGTGAATAGCAAATGCTATGTAGTAGATGTAAAGGGGCTAATCAAATGTAAGCTTGATACATTTCTGCTCTTGCTGTTGCTAAATCATGTAGGACAGTCAGTTCTGACCCATAGTGACCCTGTTTAGTGTTTCCAAAGAGTGATTGGTGAGTTTGAGCCACTGACCTGTGGTTCAAATCTACCTTGCAGTTCAGTGCTTATCCTACAGCACTACACCAGGATGGCTAGGATTGAGGAAGGGACTGGGCATTGGTCAGGGAAGGAGGAGAGACGTGGACATATCTAGAGCTATGGATCTAATCCAAGAAGATTCTTCAGTGGGAAGTCTCTAAGGTGTCTTCATGGTCTTGTCAGGATGAACCAATTAGAGTCCTCCAAGCCATTTGAGTTACTTTGACCTCCAGTCCTCTGTGTCTGGTAATACAGTCCAAATGGTTAATGGTGTGACATGGTGAATGAACTCACGTGTCCCAGCTCTTGCCATGTGAAGGCTAAGAGTGTCCTGGAGAAATGATCAGAGAAGCTATTTTCAAAATTGCAGTTAATTGTGTGTTTGGGAAAGCTGTTTCTTCTGTTGAGGAAGTAGAAGTTAACAGATGATGAAGGAGCTGCACTTCGAGAGCTACTTGAAGAGTGTTTTCAGTGGCATGAAGGCAGATGTAGGACTTACATTCTATTCCAGGAATCATGGAACAAAGGAATGAGGTGGGATGGTTTAAGAGTTGATTTCCTTTAGTCAGAATACGAGGGGACTTAAAAAATTCATGGAAAAGTGGAATTAAAGGATAATGGATTTTATCCATGAAATCTTTGAAGCCCTATGCGTCTAAGAGTTAGGCTTGACCATCTGACCTTAAACTTGTAGGCTGCATGGGTTGCTTTTTCAGAATATCTTTTCTTCAGTCTCACTTGAACCACGATGATACCCATCATCTGCCTTTAGGGAACCTCCAGTTGGCTGTATATCCACTCACTTCAGCTCTTTAAAACATCCTCCTTTTTGTAGCAAGGAGGGGAGTGATTAACTTTTCAGCCTAGGAGCGGAGGTCCCTGGGACCATCAAGAGAGAAGAGTGGGACCCTACCCAGAGAAGCAGTGATGCCAGAGATGGAGGCAGAGACGATGACGTAGAGTGATGGAGCAGCTGGAGACTTTAGATCCAGAGAGGGAGAGGGGCTGTGTGCTGATGACCAGAGGGCAGGCTTGCAGGGTGTACCCTTTGGTTGGTTGATGGGGATTGTAACCATGGCAATGGAATGATATACGATAGAATGAATGTGAAACTAATGTTCTCCCATGTAAACTATCACAAAATTCACAATAAAACATTTTTTAAAAAAAGGAAAAACGCACAAACAAATAAAAATCCTCCTTTCTTCCCATTTTCTTCCCTGCAGCTAGTGAGACCTGCAACGATTTCCACCCGATGTTCTTCACCCACGACAGATCCTTTGAGGAGTTTTTCTGCATCTGTATCCAGCTCCTGAACAAGACCTGGAAGGAAATGAGGGCAACTTCTGAAGACTTCAACAAGGTAAGATTGATCTGAGGTAGCGACAGGACTTCCGTCATGTCATCAAAGCAGGCATCCTCAGGGCCAGTGAATGGTGCTGAAGCTGTGTGTGGAAGACTGGGATCTTTAAGGCATTATGAGAATGGAGAAAGCTAGATATGTTATAGAGAGCTGATGCTGTGTATGACGGTACTCTCAACTCTCTGAGGATGAGCTAGGCGGCTTTGCTTCTTTTCATTCACCAGCAGAAACCCTTTCTAAAGAAGCATTGTTGGAATAAACTTTTTTTTTTTTAAGCATTAATTTAAGATACCTTGGTCTTTCAAGTTAGTCAAGGAAAATCCCTTGCCTCCACTTATCCAAAGGATCTATTGGAGGAGAGTAAGACCAGCAGACTGCTATGTCTAGGTTGGGTTCTTTGTGGAATATAGATGTGCTGGGATAATTTGCTCTTTGCTGTATCAAAAGGAATTTTTATTAAAATGAGAGATCACGTTCAAGGAATTGAAAAGTTAAGTTTATAAATAGCATGTTGTTATTAAGTGCTGTTGAATTGATTCCAACTAATAGTGATCCTGTATAGGGTTTCCAAGGAGTGTGTGGTGGGTTTGAACCACCAAACTTGTGACTCAAACTGAGCTTGCAGTCCAGCGCATTATCCTACAGCACCACACCAGGACTCATAAATAATATATCTTGGCTTATACTAAACATTGATTCTTGGATCTGAGGTGCCCTTCGGTTTTCTGTACTTTGGTTTCTTGTTTGTTACAAGAGTATGAATTTTATATTTCTGTTTGTGTGGTTGGCCCAGGATCAGGTAATGTTTCATTCTGTTGTGCATAGGGTTGCTATGAGTCTGTACCGGCTCAATGGTACCTAACAACAACAACAACAATTTGTGTGTGAGTGTTGGCTGGAAAGAAGAATATTGACCAAAAGCATCATACACAATTGGCGATACACAAAATCTTTATTGTTGCAGCATAGATGTATTTGTATATAAGTGAAGATGTATGTTGATGATACTTGTCAATGGAAGCCATGGCTACTGATAATAGTTGATTGCTGTTAGCTGCCATTGATTCAGCTCTAATTAATGACAATCCTAGGTACAACAGTCCTGGTGTGGTGCTGTGTGTTAATGCGCTGGACTGCAAGTCAGCGTTAACCAAAAAGTCAGAGGTTCAAACTTAACAACCCTACATAGGGTCGCTTTGGATTGGAACCGACTCAGTGTCACACAACAACAACAATGGACAATGGACTGGAATGTGGTCCGGTACTGCACCATCCCCCTGGTCAGGATAGGACCCGTGTGATCCGTATGATTTTCACTGTTATTGTTATAAAGTGCTGTTGAGTCAGTTCCAACTCATAGCATTTCCAAGGAGTGGCTGATGGGTTTGAACCACCAACTAGAACAGATATATTTCAGACTTTAATACCTATATTTTCTGCAACATTATGGCTCTGGGCATCATTCAAACCCACTCATCTGGTACTAAAGGACAGAACCTTGCCTAGACTCCCCTCAGCTGGTGACAATGGAAGGTCTAAGAAACTAATCTTATTCATTCTGTGGGACCATCACAGACTTATGCTTGGTACATCACATAATATCTGAACTCCATCTATGTTTTAGGTGCTTGTGGGTCTCTTTGCCTGCCTGTCATCTTTTCTCTGAATTTACATCTCACCCTTTGTTCCTATTCTAATCCGGTTTGTGTCATCTCATACTAAAACTGGCTGAAAAGAAAGCAAAGCAGGAGAAGGAGATCTGATTCTTCTGCAAGCCTCAGCCGTTTCTAGCCTGAGTATATCCATCAGCACAGAGCTCTTACCTACCGTGACAGAAAACAGGTGCCATTCTGCCTCACATAGCGTGGTCTTTACTTTGCATTTTGGGCCATCTATCACACATCTGGAGTTCTGGTGTGGCGCTGTGGGTTAAGGTGCCAGACTGCAAAGTCATTTGAACTGCAAGGTCAGCAGTTCAAGCTCACCAGCTGCTCCTTGGAAACCCTATACAGGGTCACTATGGGTCGGAACTGACTCAATGGCACTCAACAACAACAAATAACACATCTGGAGTTCTGGTGTGGCGCTGTAGGATGAACACTGGACTGTGAACCATAAGCAAACTCATTAGCTGCTCCTCAGAAACCCTATAAAGGTCGTTAGGAGTCTGAACAGACTCAACAACACTTAACAACAACACCATGACACAAATGGTTAAATGCTTAATTATCAGCTGAAAGGTTTGGCAGTTTGAACCCACTCAGAGGTGCCTCAGAAGACAGCCCTGACGATCTATTTCTGGAAATTCACAGCCTTAAAACTCTGTAGAGTTGTTCTCCTCTATAACATAGGGATCACCATGAGATGAAATCTTTGAGACAGCAACTAGCAGCAACACTGAGTTCACTGAAATAGGCTCCAGCGATGTTCAACATGGAGGGGCCTGACCACAAAACCACAATCCAGACTCGCTGTGTCTGAGCAGCTCTGCTGAGGAGACACATGATTCCAGAGCTGGAGAGAAGCATCCCGGTAATCCCCTTGTGATTGTAACTGCAGGCCTCCTAAGTGTGCTTGACTTGATTAGGAGAAACTGTGCATTTCAGGTGCAGGTTGTCCTTGGGAGAGAAAGAAAAAAGAAGGAGCAGAGAGACCTTTGTGGCAATCAAGTGAAAAAACTGAGGATATCAAATCAATTGTTTCTGAAATGTCTGTAGCCACTTAGCCCCTGGTTCCGTTCAACTCTGCCTGCCCTGCAGTGGGACAGTCATCAGATGCTCAGCTTTTGTGGCCAGGAAACACCTGTTATTCCAGGAGAAGGTGACTTTACTGGCTCTCACATGTTCTGACATCAGGTGTCTGTTTCCTCAGCAGATTTCACTCATCCTGCTTCTGAATTTGGGAGATCCGTACTTTTGTAAATGGTGATAATGCAGATATTATTGTTGTTGTTGAGCTATGCATAGATCAGGTTAGGGAAGTATGCATAGTCTATGCATAGATCAAGCCCTGCAGAGGACTCTTTGAAGGGGATGAACACTCAGATACTTAAATTCTCCAGAACTTACAATTCCCAATATTAAACCTCAAGAGTGTGTTGTTAGCAAAGGAGATTGGAGACAGCAGGCTCTGGCAAAGGTGAGCATGGCTCGCAGGTTTGCGTTCATTATGGTGATGTGCTCTGATAGGTAGCGGCAGCATTCTGCCTCCCAGGGTGGGATCTTGTCTCCAGGGACAGCAAGCCCAATAACTGTCACTCAGAAACTTTTATCATGATTTAACTGTATGGCTGCCAAAACTAGCTTCAGCAAGACCGAAGAGCCAGTTTTCAGCTTCAGTTTCTTACAGTGGCACTAAGGCCATTTCTTTGTATCACCTACAGACTTGGGACCATATGTACACTGCCCACATGGTATAGTTGCTGAACTATGATTGTGACAGGCCAGAAGGCATAGAGTCCCACCAAATACAGATACCTATTGGACTCCTGGTGTGAAGCTGTAGGATCAGCACTGGGCTGCGAACCACAAGGTCATCAGTTCAAACCCTCCAGCAGCTACTCAGAAACACTATACAGAGTCTCTATGAGTCAGACCTGACTCGACGACACTTATCAAGAACAACAACAATTGGTTTGGTTAAGAGTTTATATCAGAGGAGGGTAGACAATGAGTATGACAAGGAACCCTAGCTATCTAGATTAAATATTTTTCTATGATTGATTTTATGAGTTATATGTGACACTGTAGGGTAATGTCCTGGACTGCAAAGTCGGTTTGAAATGCAAGGTCAGCAGTTCAAGCTCACCAATTGCTCCTAGGAAATCCTATACAGGGTTGCTATGGGTCAGAACTGACTCAACAGCACTTAACAACAACAACAATGCATACTTTACTGTTGTAACCAAACAACTCTGTCAGTGATATATATTTTTGTATGTGTGTATTCGTTTTCTGTTGCTTCTATAACAAATTGCCACAAACTCAATGCTATAAGCAAGGCAAATGTGTTATGTTACAGTTGTGTAGTTCAGAAGTCTAAAGGTATCAGCCAGGCTGTGAGCCTTCTTACAGGGTCAAGAGTCCTGATGTGGTGCTGTGCTCTGGACTGTAAAGTCAGTTTGAACCACAAGGTCGGTGGTTCAAGCTCACCAGTCGCTCCTTGGAAACCCTATACAGGGTCGCTTAGGTCAGGACCGACTTGACAACACTTAGCAACAACAAGGAGAGAATGCATTTCATTGTTTTTTCTAGCCCTGGAGGCCACCCACATTCCTTAGCTCCTGAACCTCTTTCTCCATCTTCAAAGCCAGCAGCTGTATGTAGATCCTGTCCTTCTCAGGGCACATTTTGTCTCTGTAATCTCCTTGTCAGCCTCCATCATCCACATATAAGGATTGTAGTGATTACTTTGGGCCCATCTGCACAATCTGGGGTAATCTCTGTCTTTTAAGGTCATCTGATTAGTATACTTAATTCCATCTGCAACGTAATTTCTTCTTTGCCAGGTTTCCGAGGTTAAGGTTCAGGTTTGTAGGGGGAAACATAATACTGCCCACCACAATGTAGACTTGATTTGTAGGTTTATATATCAATTTAAATCAAGATTGAAGAGATGAGCTCTTCTTCTTTTTTGCTATTTGCTGGTGTACAAGCTGCTGCTGTTTGCTGTCCAGTTAGTTCCAACTAATAGTGATCCCATATAGGATTTGTGATATTGTAAATCTTTATTGGAGCCGAAAACCTCATCTTTATCCTGTGGAACAGCTTCTAGATTCGAACTGTTCAGCTGGTGTTTAGCAGCCAAGCGCGTAACCATTACTTTACCAGAACGCCTTTGGTCAGAATGTACCGCTGGTGCTTTTTCAAATACAGAGATAATTATATTTCTTTTCTTCTATGTCCTTTGTCTATCCCCACATTCTTTAAAAATGAACAGCTCTGTGTGAAAGCCTCTAGTGGAATTTGAAGAGAGTTTTTTTTGTGTGTGTGAGTTGTTTT